TGCCACCGCGGCTGCTGCTGCTGCCGCTGCTGCTGCCGCTGCTGCTGGGTCGGGGGCTGCGCGCCGCGGCCTCGGCCTCCTCCTCTGGGGCGGCGGCCGAGGACAGCAGCGCCATGGAGGAGCTCGCCACTGAGAAGGAGGCGGAGGAGAGCCACCGGCAAGACAGCGTGAGCCTGCTCACCTTCATCCTGCTGCTCACGCTCACCATCCTCACCATCTGGCTCTTCAAGCACCGCCGGGTGCGCTTCCTGCACGAGACCGGGCTGGCCATGATCTACGGTGAGCACCCCCTACCGCGCCCACCACCCCGACACCCCTCCGGCGGCCGGGCCGCTGCGCTGCCCCCACCCCGCCCCGCTCTGCGCTGCGCTCCCCCCTTCCCTTGCCAACGTGTTTCTTTTCCGTTTCCCGCTGCGACGGGGTTGGTTCCCAAGGTCAACTGTCTGCATTTTTTTCTGGCTTTCTATTCCCGTTAAAAAGAATTCCACCCCATTTCGCTGTGTCTTCACCGGGGAACCAGGATAATGAAAGGCACAGAGGTGGCCTGGTTCTGCCCACCGGGTTCTGTTTTACGCTGCCCCCCCCCCTGCATCGCGCTTCCGCACTCGCCTCCCCCCACCTCCCGCCCCAGTTCAGCTCAACAGGGTACGTGTGCCGCGGCGGCAGAGGGTGGGTGACTTCCTTGGGGACCGCGTCACCCCAGGAGGCAGGCCACAGTGAGGGTGGGGGCGAGGACTGAGGGTTTCTGGGGTTGGGTCTTGGCGTCCGGGGCCTGATGGATGCACACATCCATGGTCACCCCGGGTGGGCGCCCACTTCTGAAATCCGCGTTCCTGGGTCTCTTGGTAAAGTCAGAGTGTGAAGCGCTGTGAAAAATGAGCGCGGTCCAGGATCCAGTGTGGTGCACTGCCACGGTCGGGCCTAGTCGGGGATGTGGGCACGCCTCCCACCCGTCTGTCCAGGTGGGACGTACTACTTGGCTTCTCCAAGCAAAGAGGAGATTTGTGTTCTTCAGATTTTAACGCGGACGTGACTTTGAAGACACGTTTATAAGTGCATGAAGAGGAAAAGTAGTGGTTTTAATCCTGGAGCCAGCCGTCTTTTGTTGTGAAGGGTGGGCTGATGCCATCATCTTTTTGTGGATTTAATGGCACCCGGTGTGTTACCCGCGGAGCGGTCAGCACCAATCTGCTGTTGTCACACGGATGTCAGTTAGCTGTAATCTGAATCATCCCTCTCTCCCCGCCCCCACCCCCCATTCTGACTCCAGACTGGAACCCAGTATTCTGTTTTTGAATTGAATTCAGTGGCGTTAAGGCCCAGGTTGGCATCCTCATGTGAAATAGATGAGCCCGCTTCATGACTATTCCCAATAGGGAGCATTCTACTTCATTGCTTTTACTGGAGGGATCTCTCCACTCAATTTCCATTCAGGGTTCCCTGATAAAGAATGGAAAGCTGATGCCTTAATCTTTAATGTGAAAATTACCCTTGGCCCTGGGCCTCGCTTCTCAGGGTTCTTGATGGGTCGTTGACAGCCCTCTCAGGGTTCTTGATGGGTCGTTGACAGCCCAGGCTGGTGGCTTCCAAGGTTATGGAGTGCTGTCGGGAGGCCCTCTAGTTTTAAAGAGGTGGAGGCCTAAACAGATCTTTAACTGAAACAGGACCAGGTCTAAAAGCGAGTTAGGCTTTTGCAAATTACAGATGTGAACTCAGACTTTGGCCTCGATACCTGGCCATTCTTGAGCTCTGGGGTTTGTGTCCGTGGGTGACAAGTGACGGAGGCCAGAGCTGGAGGTGTACTGAGCAGGTAGCAGAGTGGGGAGTTGAAGCGTGTTGTCATTTCGGGTGGTTGACTCGGAGACGTAATGCAAATGAAGATCACCCTCATATGTCTATAGATAACCATGAAAATCTTTTTATTTTATGGCCTCTAGATCCAATTCATTAAATCAGAGCGTGAAATACTTTTAGAAGGTAGATTTGACAGGCTCACGAATACATGTTCAAGTGCATGGAAAATAAATGAGGATTTAAAACTATTTGTTTTTTCCTGAGGACTACTCCATGTTCTTAGCGCAGTCACCGTTATCTTGAGGCTGCCAAACAATAGTGGATTTTTCCTTTGCTGATGTGTACGGTTTCAACTCCTTTCAATTTTTTAGTCGCTGGGGCCGTGCTGCAATGTACTGTTTCATTTTGTGAAACTGAAATCTGGTTTAATTGGTGTTTGCTCAGAAAAGGCAACATCGTCTCGTAACGTTCTGTGTAATTTTGCTCTGCCTTTGGGTTTTAGTGTTACTTTGAAATATACGAAGATATTTTGTCTGCCAATATGTGATACATATTGCTATTTTGATGTGGATATCTTGCCTGTAACCGTGAGAAAACATTTCTCTGTCTCATGGCTATTTAGTCTTCTTTCTGTTTTAGCGCCCTCCTGCCCCATCTGAATTCTAATGTCATTTGATTAGCTAATTGTTCATTCTTTCCTGAAGGCTATTGGGATAGGGATTCTGATTTTTAAAAATTCAGCATGAAAATCTTTGAGCGCTGAAGTCAATACAGTACAGATTTTCAGGACTTCTCTTTGTTAATAATAGTAAGAAAACAGATTTCATTTCTTGATATCAGTAGAGGAAGTGAGTAATTGTCCTGTTGCCTCTGAGTAATAAAGGACAGAAAGACGTAAGGAAACATTTGTTCAGTATCTGCTTTTTAAATTTTTAAATGGGGGCAGTTTTTTTTTTTTAATGTTGGTAAAGTTTTATGAGTGAAAGAGTTCAACTGCAAGTTTCAGAACTGTTCGAAATTAAAAAAAAAAACACGTTAAATTCTGCCCCTTTAAAAAATATTTAAGTGGCACTTTAATCTGAAAGGGAAGGCTTTAATGTGTATAAAAAGTTATGGTAAATATATATTTATATATAGTCATATATTAAGATAAATTGTGATTATATATATTTGTTGGTATACAATATCTCTGGAAGGACAGGCAATAGACCAGTAACATTGTTTTTTTGTGTGGGGGGGAGGAGCTAGGTGGCTGTGACATGAGGTGGCAGGGAAATACACTGTATACTCTTTTGTGCTTTTCGATTTTTGAATTATGGGAGCCGAATTACCTATTAGCGTGTCCTTGCCTCCGTTCTGTGGCATTCGTGATGGCATTTTTAAGATGCTTCTCAAATCATCCAGTGTGATGCCCACTTCTCCCTACTTAAATTACATTATGTTACCGATTTTCTGTGACCTTTCAGTTGTGGATTGTACCCCTGGAACTTCTGGAGCCCCATGCCTGGAATGGAGACAAAATGGGGCGTGGGGAAAGAGATTTTCCTTCCTTTCCCTCTCTCCTTTTTATTTCATTATCCCCCCAAAATAGTTGATGCTATATTAGGAGTGGTGTGCACAACAAATAGATCCCATAATAAGGGCTTGCTCAGATGCAAGGGATCTAAGGACAATAAGAGACACACAGTGAATGCTCGACATCTAAATTGCAAGGGGCGGTTACAAGCGCCCCTCCCTGACAACAGACCCGGGTAGCCATAAGGGAGGGTGACCACAGACCAGACTCTCCAGGGAAGTTGAAAGCAGCCCCCACCCCAGGCCCTGATGGGAGCTGCAGGGCAGTGGACCAGGAGCTTACCTGGCACCAGTCTGACCTGTTTTGTCAGGGCAGGGAGCTCCCAGCTGTCTGCCTCTGTACGTGACTAAGTGCCATCTGAAAGTTATCAGGCCCAGCAAGTCTGTGCAGCAGAAATAGCAAGTGTTTGAGGCAGGGAAAGGTGGTATAAACAGACTGTGTCAGTTAACTATGGTTCTCTCTCATGCGTACGCTAGTTCCACTTCCCCCGTAATGTTTTTGTGGCAACTGATACAGGTCCAAAATATCTCACTTGGCCGTGGCAGCCTGCCACCTGCTTCTCGCTTCCTCCACGCCTATCAACTTTCCAAGTACGCGTTGGTCAGCCCCTCCAGGTTCTGTGGACCGTGGGCTCATTGTTGCTTTGTTGGAGCCGAATTGCTAAGCGCAGGGTGAGAGAGTGGGTTCATGGGCGAAATCTGCAAGGGGAAATATGACTCTGCACAGTAGCATAAAATTAACGTTTGAGCCTTGCGAGCACACATCTTGGAACCACGCTGTTCTTGGTTAATCGGGAGCCGTCATTTGTGTGTGTGTGTGTGTGTGTGTGTGTGTGTGTGTGTGTGTGTGTTTGAGTCCCTCACTTTGGCCCCAGTTTGGGGCAGCTCCACATGGTCTCACTTGGGTACCAGATACCTTGGGTTCACGTGCTGGCTGTGTTACTTATAAAGCTGTGTAACATTGGGTAAGCTCCCTACGTCTTGGTTTCCTCTTTTCAAAAATGGAGACAGTATCCGTCACTTCACAGGATTATTATATTATTGAGATATCATAAAGGTCAAGTGCAGTGTCTGATACTTAAACACTTGGTAGATATGAATTCTCATTCTCACTCTAGACTTCGTGATTCTTTGGCCAGCTTTGCTACTTGAGGTTAATTCAGGTAGAGGCCTGCTGTAAATTATTTAAAGTTTATTTATTTATTTTGAGAGAGAGAGAGAGAGAAAGAGAGCGAGCACGTACATGGAAGGGGCAGAGAGACAGGGAGAGAGAGAGAATCCCAAGCAGGCACCTCACTGTCATCGCAGAGCCAACTGTGGGGCTCGAACTCATGCACCGTGAGATCATTACCTGAGTCGCAACCAAGAGTCGTTTGCTTAAGCAACTGAGCCACCCAGGCACCCCTGTAATTTAAAAATGCATTAGGAGGGGCGCCTGGGTGGCTCAGTCGGTTAAGCGGCCGACTTCGGCTCAGGTCATGATCTCACGGTCCGTGAGTTCGAGCCCCGCGTCGGGCTCTGGGCTGACAGCTCAGAGCCTGGAGCCTGTTTCAGATTCTGTGTCTCCCTCTCTCTGACCCTCCCCCGTTCATGCTCTGTCTCTCTCTGTCTCAAAAATAAACAAACGTTAAAAAAAATTTTTAAAAATGCATTCGGATACAGTTAGTAGGGATGAGAAACATTTGATTTTTTTGGGGGGGGTGGGCTAATTGTTAATACCTAGAAAATATTTACAGTATGCCTACCCTGTCCACACACATACTGCCGTGGGGAAAAAAGAACGGGCAGAACAGTCTGGATAGTATTATCTCATTTATGCTTTAAAGATTTTGGAATATGTGTATACAAACATGATGTATACACATTTCTATATGACATATGTGCTTCTTTGGAAGGATACACAAACTTAG